TTTCTGATCTCGGTACTTGGATCAGATGGAAATCCTCAAGGGAGCCGACTGCTTGTCGGACCGCCTGTAAATATTTGATCATGGCCGGATGTGTTGCTTCGTATTCGCCATTGTACTGACTAACTATCAGTTGTGAATCAGAACAGGCGTCTATTTTCCTTGCCCCGGCCGCCTTACACATGCGGATCCCGGCTAGTAAAGCTTCATATTCTGCCTCATTGTTTGAAGCCTGGAAACTGAAGCGTAGAGCATACTCGAACCTGTCGCCCTCTGGAGATTGACATACGACGCCTGCTCCACAACCGTTTGAAGTAGAGCTTCCGTCCACATATACCTTCCAGACTTGGTCTGGAACTTGAGAGTCAGGAGGACGAGTCATCTCTACAATAAAGTCAGCAAAGGCTTGCCCCTTCACTGCTTTTCTAGGCTCGAAAGTAACTTCGAGACTCTGCATTTCTATGGCCCATTTGATCATTCGTCCGGAGGACTCCATGGTGGTAAGGGGCCGCTTGATCGGTTGGTCGGTATACACGACGACTGCATGTGCCAGAAAGTAGGGCTTCAATTTTTTAACAGCCATGAAGAGTGCAAGACCAAATTTCTCCACTAGGGGATACCTCAACTCGGCATTTTTCAGTACGTGACTGACAAAGTAGACCGGAAGTTGACAGCCGTCCCTTTCAGCAAGGAGCACCGCGCTTAACGCATGATCAGAGACGGCCAGGTACATGTAGAGATTTTCTTTGGGCAAAGGGCTGACCAGCCTTGGCAAGGAATGCAAGTGAACCTTTAATTTCTGGAAGGCGGCCTCAGCATCCGGCCCCCATTCAAACCTTGCCTTTTTCTTAATTGCCTGGAAAAAGTATAGGCATTTGTCGCCTGATCGGCTTAGAAATCTTCCCAAGGCCGCCAGACAACCTGTTAACTTCTGAACCTCTCGGACGGTACGAGGCGACTGCATGTCAATGACCGCCTGTACCTTCTCAGGGTTCGCCTCTATTCCTCTCTGGTTGATAAGGAATCCGAGAAATTTCCCAGACTCAACTCCAAATACACATTTCTTGGGATTGAGCATGACATGGTGCCGCCTGAGTGTGGCGAAAGTTTCTCGGAGGTCCGTCAGATGATCTTTCTGAAGTTTAGTCTTAACAATCATATCATCAATGTATGCCTCGACGTTTCTCCCAATCTGATCAAAGAACACTGTGTTTATCATTCGTTGGAATGTAGCCGGGGCATTCTTAAGACCAAACGGCATGACCGTATAGCAGTATAATCCCTGATCAGTGACGAAGGCCGTCTTCTCCTGATCTTTCTTCCACAAAGGAATTTGATGAAAACCAGAATAGGCGTCCATAAAACTCATCAAGGCATGGCCGGCTGTTGAGTCGACCAGGTTATCAATTTTTGGCAGAGGGTAACTGTCTTTGGGGCACGCCTTGTTCAAGTCTGTGTAGTCTACACACATTCGCCAGGTGCCATTCGGCTTTTTAACAAGTACCACATTTGCAACCCAATCTGGGAAGTAACATTGCCGAATGAACCCTGCATCAAGTAATTTTTTGACTTCGGCGGCGGCCGCCTGACCTCTTTCTTCACCATGGTTCCGCTTCTTTTGCCGTACCGGCTTCTTTTTCGGATCCACAGCGAGTTTGTGTACTGCCAGATCAGGACTAATGCCTGGCATTTCATGGACTTCAAATGCAAAGATGTCCTTGTATTCTTTCAACAGGTTGTGAAAGTCATCACCAAGGTTTCTCAGAGCAGTCGTCCCAACTTTGACTGTTCGGTCAGGGCGGGAGTCGTCTAATATCAGGTCCGTATGCTCACCAGCCGGCTGAGGGCGGAACTCATCCGGCCGGTCCTCTGCCAGTGATTGCTATTTTCTTGCCTTTCTGGCGGACTCTGTCTGGGACGCCTTTCTTTTTCTGTCGCCTGTTTCTTGAACAGGCGCACTTTCCTTGACATTGTCAAGGTCTGTTTTTTCTCCACTTGACCCAGTGGCCTTAGCAGTGGGTTTGACATCCGAGAGATAGCACTCTCGGGCCATCCTCTGATCTCCCCTTAGGGAGCCGACTGTTCCATTGTCCCTTTCAAACTTAAGCAGCATAAGTGACGGGATTATAACAGCCTTGGCACTATTCAGGGTTGGGCGACCCAGAATCATGTTGTAGGCAGAGAGTTCCTCTACAACTAGGAATCGGACTACCATGTGTCGTCCTTCCCCTTTTTCGCCCAGGCGGACGGGTAGATCAACTCGTCCCAGTGGGTGGACGACTCCTCCTCCAAACCCTATTAAAGGGTGGGAGGCCGGATGTATGCAGTCCGTCTGATATTTCAGTTTTGACAGACATTTGCTGCTGATGAGATCTGAAGAGCTCCCAGTATCTATGAGGATTCGACCAACTCTCTGGTTGGCCACTTTACATTCAATAACGAGAGGGTCGTCATGCGGCCCCCTTATTCCTCCTAGATCCTCTTCAGTGATGACAATCTCAGGAAATGTATATTTGGACGGTCGTTCTTGGTGAACGGAATTTACATCTAACCGCCTTATATTATCTTTGTTGCCCCTAATAGTGGGGCCGCCTCCTGAGAAGCCGCCTGCAATGGTGTAGACGACTGCATCATCTGTATCGGAACTGTCGGCCTGTTGATTCTTTTTGGCCGACTGCTTTTTTGAGGAAGTATTCCCCGTAGATTTCTTGACATAAGTGTCAAGATCACCTTGATCAGCCAAGCGGTCTAGGTACCGCATGAGACTAATGCAGTCGTTGGTGTGATGACCAATGTCATCATGATAAGCACAGATTTTGTCTTGGCTCCGGTTGCTCGCAGAACCCTTCATGGGGAGCGGTTTCTCAATTGAGAGCCGTCCCTTTATTTCTTTTAGGATAAACTGGTTATCCTTGTTAAACACATACTTTGGGGAGTATGGTTTGAATTCCTTTTTCTTCTTGGCCGGCTGTTTAGAGGAATCAGCCGCCCAGACCCCTTTTCTTTTTTCATCTTTGTTGGACGACTGTTTCTGTCGTCCTTCTCTATTGTCGAACCTCTTCCCGTCCGACTGTTTCATTGTACACAGATCAGTCGCCTGTATATAGGCTTCTGCTTCAATCAAGGCCTCTTGAAGAGTCGCCACCCTTTTTCGAACTAAATCAAATTTGAAGGTAGACCCGTCTTTGAGACCTCTAAAAAAGTCAGTATAAGCTACCTCATCCGGTAACCCTTGAATCTGTATTCTCATCAGGTTGAACCGCCTGATGTAGGAACGAAGCCCCTCCTTTTCACCCTGCTGAATTGTTCCCAAATCAAGGGTCGTTTTCTTCGCAGGGATGTTCATTGCAAAGTTGGAGGCAAATAAGTAAGCAAGCGTCCTGAAACTGTTTACACAACCAGTCGGCAGGTTGCCGAACCATTGCTGTGCAATTCCCTTGAGAGTTGCTGGGAAACACTTGCACCAAGTGGGATCATCCAACCCTTGAAGGTACATCAGGTTGGTGAATGCCATCAGATGGTCTTCCGGGTTAGTAGTGCCATCATAGGCGCCTACTAAAACATTTTTTACTTTGGCCGGCTGAGCGGCTTCAGTAATTTCCTTGGAGAAGGCCGACGGCTGTTCACCAAGTCTAAGCAGCCGTAGCTGCCAGTCCATAGGTTGGACGTTTTTTGCTGCAGGTCCACCAAATGGAGGTGGCTGCATAAAATATTGTTGTTGCGGCACAAATGGCAAATTTGGTACCGCCTGCGCACTATGAAAGCCAGACTGTCGGGAGGTGCCGCCTGACTGACTCTCATGGTACGACTGAGTTGGCCTCATCGAGGCATTTCGCAAACTGTCCTGAAAATTTGAAGTAGAAGCCGACTCTGATAATCGGTCACTCCTCTTCTGCTCTAGCAGGTGCCGAGCATCTGTGAACGTTTGCTTTGACCCGTCCGCCTGAATATGACGAACCGGTTTCCTATTTCCCGTAGGATAACGGAGTTTTGTGAAATCAAGAGCAGACGGCTCCCGCTTCTTAGATTTAGGATGGGGAGTCGCCTCTCGCCCTTGAACTGGCTTCCTCTTCAGTGAAGTGGAAGGTTTTTTGGCCGCCTGCTCTTTGACTGAAGCAGGCGGTTTTTTGTTGATCAACTCTTGGATCTCTCCCTTGAATCCCCTCATGAAGGTCATGAGTTCGTTCCTTGTGATGGGAGCAGACCCATCAGTCGGCTGTTGCCGAGCAAGCGGTGCGCCTGCTGGCTCGCTTCCTGTTTGAAGATACTCCCGTTCCCTTATTTCAGTATGACGGGTACGGCGGGCCCTTAGGGTCCCGTCTGGAGCTGTATGAGTTTCAACTTCAAATTCACTTTCGGTATCATGGTCCGACTGAACTTGAGGGTCGTCTAGGGGACGCCTCTCTTCTGGGGTCGGTACAGACTTGGATGCCATCTCTGAAGTACTCTCCCCACAGACGGCGCCAAATGTTTCGGGGTTTTCTGATGTCCTGCGGGAGAGTTACAATTCCGAGACTGGAACCGGACGCCTGTACCTGCAAAATAACGGAGACTCCTGAGAGCTCCGCCTCCAACGGTCAAGTTAGTACCTGATTAAGGAGTAATTAATACAGAAATTAAAGTAATAAGGTCTCTCTAGGTGAGAGTATTTAATGAAGGTAATCTGCTTTGCTAGCGAGATCAGCCGGTTATTAGTGTGTTCCGTTAATTATTCGGTCCTTCGATTAATGAGAATTAATCGAGTATTTATAGCCTTGGGAAGCGTGCAACTCTCTAGGTTTAAGGTAAACCTAGGGCCGATCGGGCTTCTAGACTGAAATGGGCCTTGATGGCCGGTTGTCCCATTTGGCATGGGTGGACACGTGGCGTGTCTTAAGTGGTCCGTGGAGGACGCGTGGCGGAACCTGGTTGGTCCACTTGTCAAACGGCGCTTGGTGGATAAAAATCCCCTAATCAGTATTTATGTTTGTTGTGAATAATAACGTTTTTTTGGTAATGTGCAGGTTCTTTGGATACCGTATGGGCCCGAGTTCATTGTCACATTGGTAATCAGATCATCCCTATTCGCAATGATTTGGAGGCATCTAGGTCGAAGATTGGTCAGAAGTACCGACAATTGCCATTGTCACGTATTAACGGCAAGGTGTCTCAGAATTGTTTGAAGATTCTCGACAAGGAGACGAAAAGGATGAGGGATCTGAGTTATCAGGTGTATGAGCGTTGCAGATGTGTATTGCGGGTGACCCATGGTTTGCCATGTGCTTGTCAGATACATGAGTCTTTAGCTCGAGAGACGGGCTTGTATAGTAGGCAAATTCACCAGTTCTGGAAGACTTTGGTTATCGACAATGGTAATGACGGAACAACGTTCGGTAATGACGGCGACCGAGGACGCCACACATTTTCGAAATCTAATGGACGAGGTACTTGATAGTGATAATGCTGTTCTACGAAATGTGACACACATCATTTCAAGATTTATTTCCCATTGCTACTTGGTTTAACGCAATGGTTATTATTCTCGGTGTAGGCACCGTACCAACGTGCTTGTACCCATCTTGAAATTTTAGGTTGTATCCGCCCCATCCTCACCCTGTCCCACCCGCTGCACTTCGTACCCGCCCCATCCCCACATCCATATATTTTTAAAAACAAAATTATATACTTTTATACTATTTTATAAAAAAAAAAATTATGTAAAATAAAATAGTAAATATAATACTTTGTAATACACTTATATTATAAACAGAAAAATGTGTAATATTAACAATAATTTTTCTCATTTTGCAATCTTTATTAATTATGAAAGATTGTGTATTTGGGAGATGGGGATCAGGCGGGTCTTAGGTGGGGATTAGGTGGGGGTGGATATCCAAGTGGGGGTTGGGGCAGGGATGGTTTTAGAATTGTACCCGCCGGGGCGAGAATGGAGATGAATTTTAAACCCGCTGCGGGGATGGGGATGAGTATGAAAATTTTAGATGGGGATGGGGATGGGAAGCCAACATCCGCTCCGCCCCGCCCCATTGACATCCCTACTCTCAGGACACTACTGTAATTGACACATTGACAAGCCGACATAAATTATTGTGTAATAGTAATAAATATAAACAATTGATATTATGAAAATAAACATCGTGACTTACCTAATAACATATTACATGATAGCATATATTAATTATATACTCTTTTCGTTTTTATTAAATACATCACTTGGATTTAATTATATACTCTTTTCGTTTTTATTAAATACATTACTTGGATTGTTGCATTTAACAAAAAAAAAAAAAAAGTATATCACAAACTCACAATGTATACTTTCATAATATACATATCAAATTTCTATAGTCTTATTTATATATTATTAGATATATTAATGATCAAAATTATGTGTCGGCATACAAGATTGGTAAAATCATAAAACTTGAAAAATAGGAGTAGTATTATATTATTGAAGTCAAGTAATAAACTACCTAATTAACTATGTCGCAGTCAAAATGTAACATTTAAAATAAAGAAAGGAGTATGGTATCGTCGTTATAAATGGGACAAGGGTTTTGTTTGATTTGTCTCAATAAATCTTAAAATAACTGTAAAACAATATTTTTGTAAATTTATAAATAAAGATTGTAATAGTCATCAATATGTGTTATGCAACTGTTTTATTGAAACAAAGGTGGTACTTATATTAACTAGGAACAAAGCGTTTTGTGTGCGGTTGGCACATCATGTGGCCGCTTCTAAAAGAATAAAGTAACCCCTACAATACTAAACGAGTAACCCTTATAATACTGACGAAGTAACCTCTATAACACTGACTGAGTAACCTTTATAACACTGACGAAGTAACCCCTGTAACACTAACCGAGTAACCCTTATAACAGTAACGAAGTAAACGCATGATAGTTGACCACACGGTGTGGACGACCACATATGAAAGTTTGTGAACTACAAATATGTAGTTAAATGTTGGTATATTGCTGTGACATTACACGTAAAATTAACTCATTACTCTAAACCAGGTGATAAGGTAACTACTATCGAGGGTCACTTCAGTCTCACAAAATCTCTAATCGAAGCCTTAAAACTCGAAGCGACAATGCCGGTAGCAAAAGCAAATGGCTACATGCTAAGTACGTTCGAGGTGGTAGCTGCGCATGTGTGGCGAATTGCATGCAAGGTACGCGGATTAGCCGATGACCAATCGGTGAAGCTGTACATACCAATTGATGCAAGGCCGAGATTAAAGGACGATCCAACCATGCCAAAATGGTATTTTGGGAACTTAGTGTTTTTTACGGCTTGTATTGCAAAAGCAGGAGATATCATATACAAGCCGCTATGGTATGTTGCGAGTAAGATTCACGAGGCATTAGGAAAAGCAAAAGACATCGAATACTTGAAATCAGCTGTTGATTACCTGGAATCGCAACCAGAACCTGTGGTAGTACTTCGTGGGCCAGAGAGTGTTACAAGTCCAAATCTTTTATTAAACTCTTGGGTTCATATTCCTTTTTCTAAAGCGGATTTTGGTTGGGGTCAGCCCAAATTTTTGGGAAATGGTGGGATCAAATATGAGGGTCTATGCTTCTTAGGTCCAAACCCAAATAGGGATGGTAGCTTTTTATTGAGCATTAATCTTTTTAAAGTTCACAAGCCTCACTTTGAGAAATGTTTGAATGAACTCAAAATTATTCCCAAAATATGAACATGATATATGGGGAGTATGGCCGGGTTATGATTGTGTTAGATTATTTTTAACGTTGTTGGGATGTTGTTAAATTGGGTGTGTGGAGGTGGATCGAATTGGGTGTAATCAATTATGGTCATCTCGAATTTGATTCATCTTAATTATTACGAGTATGATCGTGTGGATATTATTGATTTATTGGTACGTGTCACTTTGGATTAGTTGGGCCGGTTCAAGTTTTGACAACTCTAAAGGTTAAGTTTGGCATCTGAATTGAAGTCTTTCTTTTAAGTATACATGATGTTCATCTTTCTAAGTGTATTAAGCTTTTGTATCTTTAAACTTTTAGCTCTTAAAATGAAAAAGGAATTTTATTTAAGAATTTACATATTCTTGTTAACCAACTTAATCAGCCGATTCTATCAACCGGTTAAGTGTATGGACTTTAGATTTGAAATATGTTTGTGGTTACATCTTACATGTATCCTGTTATACACAGTATATTTTATAATATTTAAAATATTATCGAAAATGTCATGATTATTCAAATTCTACATGCATTGTGTATGGTAGATCAGGCTAATTTTCTAAATCCGAGTTACATTATATACTCCATTTATTCCATAAAATTCTTCATATTCACTATTTATGTATTCAAAACTACAAAATGTTGATATGACAATCTTTAGTAAATCAAATACAACATTAGAGAAATTTATACTCGGTAACTTATATGATCTCGTATTCTCGTTGAATTGATAATATGTGTAAAATATTAACTTTTCATCTATTTTTATTTTTTTATGTATTTACTACAGTAGTATATAAAAAATAAATTTGATTATATATATGTGTCCATTGAAAACCGGACAAAAGACAAATGAAAAAAATCATAGAATGAAGGGAGTATAATATGGCAGTTACAAGATAGATTATTGTTCTAATTTTGTTCTAAGTTAAGGTGCTTTATGCTAGTGGTTGAGGTGGTGGAATCCATAGTATGCAGTGTTCATGGTGGAGTTCGGTGGTCTAGTCAAGGAAGACGAGTTAAAGGGTATTCGAAATCGTAACCCTTTTAGTGAAACTATGGTTAAATGATCTATGTAGTTAATATAAATGTAACACTTTTAAAAAAAAAAATGGACCATGATGAAGGCAAGCGTAACACTAAAAAAAATGGATAGAATAATTTTGCTTTGTTACAAAATCATATTCCTTCTTCCGATAAGATTTTGAAGGCATTTAAACGGGATTAAATAACAATATCACATGAATATGTTCCGTGGGTTTAATAAGTTTAGTGAGTGAGTCCAAAATAAGAGGATATACACATGATTAATTTAATAATGCATCAAACATTTATAATACTAGATAGATCAAATTGTGTTAAGACTTTAAAAAGTACAGTAACCCAAGTTTTGATGTTGTACGAAGTATATATAGATAATAAGATAATACTGTAATAACATATTTACCAAACTAGATCTGAATCATCATTACTCCCTTAAGTTGTTCCTAAGCCACAATAAAATGAAGAGAGGAGATAAAATATGAGCTTGAAAGTGCAAGAATGCAGCTTGGTTTGCCCGGTAGGGGAGACCCCAAATCAAATTGTTAGGCTCTCACGCCTAGATATGCTGGTATGTATGCCTTTTTCACATACCTCATTTATATACATTATTTATCGAGCACAAGACAACATAAACAATAATTCCTCAAATTTTTTCAACATAGTTGTGTTGAAATAGGCTCTAAGTAGAGCCTTAGTTTCATTCTATCCGTTAGCGGGTAGGTTAAGGAAAAATGAGAGTAATGATGAAATTGAAGTAGATTGCAACGCGGAAGGGGCGCTATTCATAGAGGTCGAAACACCCTATGCCCTTAATGATTTCGTAGATGGAGATGGAGATAAAGACGGAGTCTTTAAGCCTAATGCTAAGTTTCGTAAAATGGTGAATACTACATGGGATTACACCAAGGGGCTCTCTTCAATACCCTTAATAATGGTGCAATTTACCCGCTTCAAATGCGGTAGTGTATGCATGGGTGTACCATCATATTGGTGATGGAATTGATTATGCGTATTTCATTTGCTCTTGGGCAAGGCTTTCCCGTGGACTTGACCTCGTCGTCTTTCCTGTTCATGAGAGGTCGTTGATCCACCAGCTTGCTCCTCACAACCCACCACAGGTCAAGTTTTGGCACTTGGAGTTTGAGCCACGCTTACCACCCTTACCACCAAACGGCTTTTCATAAGGTAAGTAGATGATAATAGTTATCTGTTTATCTTCTTGTAAAATTACACCATCTCACATTTTCCTATTCAATATGCGTGCTCATATATAATACGGAGTACGGAGTATTATAAAGCTATAGCCAAAGGTAGTATGATTGCTAGTTACTAAGTTATGTATTCCAAATTAATTCATGTGAAAGAACTAGCAACGAGTTCATATTTGGAGATATCTTTTTTTTTTATCAATACATATTATAACCTTTTGTCTATTCGATCATACTCCCTCTGGTTTTATTTAAGTGCTCCACTTTAACCTGCGCACTTGCCAATGCACAATTTTGATTAACGGTATTTTAAATTATCAATAAAGAAATTAATAAAAAGTTGATAGCTGGAAACTATGCTTTAAGAGCTGAGACATTCTAACAAGTACTCATTGATTATGTTTTATCTTATGTATAATGAACAAACGTTGATCAAAGCAATGCATGTGAATAGTATCAATGTCAAAATGAGGCACTTAAATAATAACAGAGGGAGTACTTTATATGAGACTTAAGTTTCTCCAATGCTTTATGCTTTGAAATATGGCTCACCTCCTATATAGTACAGTTAAATTTAAAGTTGAAATCAAATGTTATTTACGTCAGTTATCTGTTGTAGCTATTTCTACACTATAAAAAGTGTACATAAAATACTACACGTACTCATAATTTTGATGAAAAATAACCAACATTACTACATGTATCAGGTGATGCGGCATTGACTATGGAGGGTCTCTTCAGTCTTCTAAACCTCAAATTAATGCATTGAAACTAGAAGCAGCATCACACAAAGTAGTAGATCAAGGTTACACACTAAGTACATTCAAGGTGGTAGCAGGGCATGTGTGGCGAAGTACATGTATGGTGCGCGGATTAGCAAATGAGCAGTATGTAAAGCTCTACATACCGATTGATGCAAGAACGAGATTGAAGGATCCAACCCTACTAAAAGGGTATTACGGCAACTTAGTCTTCTTTGCAGCCTGTATTGCTGAAGTAGTTGACATTGTGAGCAAGCCGCTATGGTTTACTGCAAGTAAGATACATGAGACACTAGAAAGAATGCAGGATGTCGAATACTTGAAATCGGCCGTTGATTGCTTAGAATCGAATCCAATCCCATGGTTGTTCTTCGTGGGGCAGACAGTGTTACTTGTCCAAATCTTTTGATAAATTCTTAGGGTAGGATACCTTTCTATGAAGCAGATTTGGTTGGGGTTGTCCAACGTTTTTGGGAAATGGTGGTGTTCGATACGAGGGGCTAGCATTCTTGATTCCAATCACACATGGAGATGGTAGTTTTACATTGAGCATTAATCTTTACAAGATTCACATGCCTCTCTTCGAGAAATACTTGTATGACTACCAAAGTACACCTAACATATAAGGTTTTGTATACGTACAAGTACAAATACCTTGTTCTTTTAGGCTTATTTTTCATAATCAGTTCAATTCAACTCCATTTAATTTAACATAAACCAATTTTTATCAAGTTCAGTTCTATTCAGTCCGAAAGAACAAGACCTAACAACGGATAATGATAAACGATATCAGGAGAATTTTCTAACTTGGGAGCAAGCTGCCCCTTATTGTGTTCTTAATAATTTATTGATTAGGGAAGGTATTTAATTTTTTTTACCATTGAAAGGTTTTAGACTTTTAGTGCTTGTTTGGTTCAACGTAGGAAACAAATTGAAATCATATACCATGGGAAATGATTTCCCTTGCTAATTGTATAAAATTTTTAAAAAAACGTTTGGTTGAGATCATGGGAATTAATATTTCCTAGGAAATAACTTCCTATGCATTGTAGAAATTCACTCATCTAGGGAGGGCTAGGTGAGATATTTCCCATGCTATGTACGAATTTACATTTTCCTTGGAAATTTCTAACCAAACACAACGTATTTTAGCTATTGCCTAGGAATTTTTTATTCTTTGACTACTAATTCCTTAAAATAACATGGGTTTAACTTGGGTATTGCCCATTGACATTACTAGGAAAAACTGTAAGAAAAATAATACAGTACTAGAAATATAGGCGCTTTGGACAGTAAGGCAAATGATTTTCACACATGGAAAAATCCACCTCTAAGATAAAACTTCAAGTTTCATACAAAAGATTGCACAATAAGATTGTCGAAGAAAACCCAAGGGAACGACCTACTGCATGACCGAGACGGTAGCAATCTAGTGCAAAGCTACCAAGCATCTAAACCATATTCATCAACTTGCACAGAAGCTCTTTGCAATAATAACCCCCTTTAAGTTTGAAACATCAACAATTATCTGATGCTACAGTAAAAATAAAAGGCAAAGAGTTCTACCAAGGGCTACTGCAATTTCAGGTCAGGAGGTTGAGGACATCTTTCGCATCAGCAGTACTAGCACACTTGGCAAACTATGCCAGCCCGCCTAGTTAAACACATCCAAATCAATCACGCTCACTAATGGCCGTCAAGTGCTCATCGATCTCCTCGGTTGCAAGCGACCTGAAAACTGGATTCCCCACTTGAACAACTCCCACCTGGAAACAATTGGCAACTCATGCTGTTATGATTATAACCCTAGTAAAATCATAACTTTTTTAAATACACAGATTAGCATATTTCATTAGCTGATTTTGCATCAGAAGTTTCCAATGCAATAAGTTTCTGCAACGAAATTTCGAATTTTTGTTTCCCGAAGGACACCCATGAAGACAGTTTACAAGTCTATTAGTTAACCAAGTCCAATATTGTTTCCAAGATACGTATTCCATTAGAAACAAAAGTAAATCAGACATAACAAACTCAATAAATACAAAGCAACTTCATGAGATGTACCTCAATCTCAGTGGCCTTAAAATCCTCTTGCAGAACAGACTGAAGAGCAGAGATCGCAGTCTGCAAGCAAGAAAAACACAATTTTCAGTCACGTTAAGATCTATTGTTTTCGTCAAAAAAAAATAAAAAAAAAAGATCTATTATTAGCACAAGATGTATCCAACTATCCACTAATATCTATAAATAAAAAATTAGCAATGAGAAATGGCAGATCACAGATGTAAATGTCAATAGATGTTACATCAACAGCACCAAATGGTGACAAATACTTTTTGTAGGTAAATTTTCAGAAACATAAATTACCACTTTTACAAGTATCATAACAAATGTTTACAGCACAGATTAAAGCTTTTCACTAACTTCGCAATTTAACTCAGGAATTTCCCAGCGCATGGCATGAAGCAGTAAGAATGCAATGGCACAACACCCTCTTATAAATAAGAATTTACAAAACAAAGCAATAACATAAAAGCTAGCAGTCTAGCACGTATCAGAAATCAAAGAAATCTTAACACACCAGTATCACTCTCTGCGTCAAATAATATCCACTAACAAGATATTAACTAACAACCATTAGTTGAACTAAATATTCTCTTAGCCCCAATGCAAAGACATATTTTAGACAAAATCTGCAAGTAAAGTAGCAGATCCTCCAAATGAATAATTAATCAGTATAGCACTGCTGATTTCAAATTTGATAATCACATCCCCGCTTCCATATTTCCCTTCACACTAGAATGTAAGAAAGAGAAGACGCATATCGTTGCAGCAATTGAGGTTACAAAAGAAAAGCAGGCTAGATTGCATACCTGCACAGTTTCCTCATAGGAGAAAGCAGGATCATTTTTCATTTTTTTCTCCAGAAAATTAATGGCTTCTTGATCTTTAGCTCCAGCACTTGTGGCCTATAATAAACAAGCATATAATCAAAATTGTTTCCAAACTTCTGCCACAATTAAAACTGACATAAATAATACCTGGCTAATTTCTACAAAAAAAAAAGGGTGCAAGTTTAGACACAATTCACAAAATCATCCCCAACTTGGAATAAAAAGCCAAGCAACCTAGATTCACTACCCTTAAGTCTTTAATTGTATTCTAATACCCACCAATTACCACTAAATAACCACTAATTGTTTACAAACCCTATACCTTGATAAAATTCCTATATATCTATCAAATAAGCATGTTAATTAAACTAGTAACATTACTCTTTAATATAGGCTACAATCACCAACATCTTCAACTACCAAAACAAACACAATGACCACCCAAGTGAACACACAATCTGAAGAACAATTCAAAATACAACCCGATCTCAGTCTCTCTCTATCATATGGCAGATAGAAATGATGGTGTGCACCTATGACCACCAAAAGGGATAGCTATTGATCACTCAAACCTGTCACTACTTTCCTTTCGATGAGAACGATTAGTATTTACTCCTTCCGTTTCATATTAATCATAATAGTAGGCATTGCACAAAGTTTTAGGAAAATTAAAGGGTTTGGACCAAAGTGTGAATTTTATAACATAAAGTATAGGTTTTTTTTAGGGAAATATAAAGTATAATTAGCGCCATAGTGGGGGTATAATTAATTAATACTGAGAGAGTAATTTTTTAAAAAAAAATTGTGTAAGTGGGATTGGTGAAAGAGAAAAATAATAAAATAGTAGTGAATCATTATCGAATAAGGTAATGTTGCAATTTCAAAAGCAAATGAAAAAGAAATTGTCAGAATTAATTTGAAACAGAGGAAGTAGGCTTAAAGAGAAGTGAATTGTAAATCGAGAACAATTGTTTAAGAGTAATTCACAAAATGCTGATGAATTGAATGAAAGAAATTAAGAGAAAGGGGAGGATAGAAGAACTTAGATTGTTACTAAATGATGTTTATATTTCTCTCTTTTAAAAATCATGGGCTTTGTATCTATTCTAAATTAAGCCAAAACTGCAAAATCATACAAGTACCAGACTTCAATAAAGGGATTTAGGGCTGAAGAAGGGATGTAAACAACAGACTGGGTGATTGATGGTGAAAGGTGGCTTTGAGAATTCAAATGAGGACTCAAGGGTGGTTATGAGAATAATCCCCTCAATAAAAGGTAGTTATTGGTTTAGAATCCTGCGTCAAGTAGAAAGTAGACGTTTTAATGGATGAAAATCACAACAGGTTTAAAGGGGCCTTCAATTCAATGTAACATATAGATTCTAGCCTTTTTACAACCTTACCTAATAGTTTATTATAACTTAAACAAAGCAGCTCGAGTTAACACCAAGCAATGACCACACCATCTGAACTCTATTCTAAGTTATCATGACTCACCTAGTCACCTGTAGATATTATAAATCTCTAAATGATAGGAGCATATCGTGGATTAGTTTATCCAAAAAGAATACCTTGTGACCATAAAAGTGGCCAGCGGGATCACATTTAAATAGTTGAGGTCCATTCTCTTCATCAATTCCAATAACAATAGCCACTACATGTATAGGAAAAAAAAAAAAGGCATTTAGGAAAGGCCAAATGCAAAATCACAAAATAAATGTCAGAGGAAAAGATTTATTATGAGAAGCAGAAGCAGACTTGGCACACACCTACTCCAAGAGGTCTCATGTAGGCATGCTGGGTATATACTTGAGACTTATCTGCAATCCTATACACGAACAACAAATGAGTTATAACATCAAAATCACATGCCAAAAGTTGAATAGTCCAAAAAATTCTCTTGTGTCACCTGAAAATAACAATTAAACAAAACAGGAGGGGTGAGGGGATTTAACATCAACAGAAACCGTGCCCACCCCCCCACCCCCCCCCCCCCAACAAAAAAAAGAAAGGCCATACACTATAAATCACAGAAGAGCAGAAAATTGATATTATATACTTCGTACAATTAAGAAGCTATGACTGTCATTATTTACTATCCAAAGAGTAAACCTAGTAGGTACACATTAATTCATTACTTTAATTAGTTGCATAGCTCAGTAAGTCAAGGAAAGTAGAGCTCAGCTGGCCTTCTTTCATTAGGCCATTAGCTGAAGACTTTCTTGCTTTAGAAAATGTTAAATATTGCTTAAACGCAGGCACGCAAGCACAAGGGGGTAAATAAATTTTTTCCTATTTCTTTGAAAAATAGATAAATAATTTATTTTTATTTTAAAAAAAAAAAAAAAAAAAATCACATCTCTAGCAAAGTTAAAGATCAAAAAAAGGGAAAAAAAAAATCAACAATAAAAATCCTAAAAGATCAAATATGTAAAGTTTATCAAAAATCAAGCCCTCAGCTCTTATTGAACTAGTTCAAACTGGTCTTATGTATACACATTTCACTAAAGCCAGTCCCTTCCAGAGCAGCAGTAATACTGACAAGATGACAATGCCAGTAATAATAATAATAATAACAACAACAATAACAATAAAAATACTCCGTAATAATAATAGTAATGAGAAGAAGACGAAGACGACAATGAAGAAGGTGGTAATTGTGGTGGAGGTGGTGGTAGTTTATATTGCCAAATTGCCAAGAACCAAAGCTGCAGCTCATGAAAAGGAGGCTTATATGAAATCAATCAAAGCATATAAATTTTCCATCATTGGGCTATTTCAAAAAAATTTAACAAAGTCAGAAAGTCATTAACCAAAAGCAGCGAACCCCCCCCCCCCAAAAAAAAAAAAAAAAAAGAAAAAAAGAAAAAAGAAAAGAAAACCTCTTTCATTGAAAGATAGAAAGAGAGCATGATGTATATTGAAGATTGAAAACAAAGAATTTCAATAATAATAAAAATAATAATAATAAAGACTATTTAATCATTGTTGAGGATGTAGCAACAATATTTTGATTATGATACACAAATTTTTTTAAAAAAAGATGCTAATAGACAAGGAAAACATATGCAGTACACAACATTAGTCATTGGACATGAAGCAGAACAAATGCATCATGTAACCACAATTTTAATTATGTTCAATATGAGGTTGAATAATTTCTCATTTCAGTGACTCTGTGAACATGTGGCACAACTGGGGCACAAGTGAACAGCACCAGGGTCTAAAAAAAGATGTATACACTTTTTTTTACCAATATGTGGCACCTCTGCTAACAAAGTACAGTGCTATAATCTTGAAAATATAGTTTACCCAAGTAATCAATGAAACCAGAAACCTCCAACATTCGATTCAAGGCCTCTTTTATAAGTATGTTCACTTTTCAGAATTTGTAGACCACTTTTATATCAATTACAAGCCAGTTTGTATACACTTAACAGCAAACACAACACAAAGGCAGCCTATAAATTTAAACAAGAATTTCTCGCCTACTAAAAAATTGATCATCCATATTCAAATTCTAGCTTCTCTTATCAGTCAACAAGATAGGTTCATTATCTGTCGAAATTAGGAAATAATACCATCTAGCCAATGAGTCCACTGGCATTTCGTATCCATATTTATGACGAAACTCAGCTGCTTCATTCCTTGCTTGTTGAACCAAATTCCTAGAATCAGCTGATCAAAGAAGCCACCTCATTAATAGTATGAATGTTTTCAAACAATTGACTAATGAAATCTAAAATTGTCAAATCAATAATTCATCTCAACCAATTACATTGAGCAATCAACTTTAATTATAAATACTCCGCAGTACAAAATATATTATACACAATACACATGATCAACAATAGCTTCTCAATTCACTCATCGAAAACAAAGCTCATACATCAATGACCATGACTAACCCATCACAACAACATCATCCAAGAGCTCAAATTGAGCACAATTCCAAACTTTTAAGAGATTTTAATTAAAACCCATCACATTGAAACTATCTTCAATCCATTACCACTACGAGTTCAAGTTAACATGACTCAAGCCCTCAAATTCTACTTAAATATTGTCATCATGATTTCATCGACTTACTTTCATGATTAATACTAACTTACAACTTCCTTTGGAGAAAATTCTCATATTCATAATAACACACCTCAAAATCCCAACATTCTTCAATCATTCTTCTCCATTTTAATCATTGGAAGACCAAAATCATGAAAAAAATCAAATCACCCACCTGTCATTCCAGTGGCAAGCAACCCTATAAACTTGGTAATTTTGAAAAGGTGTGAAACACTAGTTTGATCCAAAAGTTTGTCCTGTAATCCAAACATCAACCAAAAACAATCAAAAAAACACCCCCAAATCATCAAAAATTAATGGGGAAAAAAAATTACTAACAGGAACTTTCTTCTGGGTGACGACACAAACTGAATCTTTCCCACGAACAGCAATCGATGTAATTCCACCAGATTTCACTGCCTTAAACGCATATTCTGATACCCAAAAAAAAAAATTAAAATCAGCGATAAACCCTAGAAAATCATTGAAATATATAAAAGTGAGATTGAAATGATAGATCTTGAGGATGAAATTGAGCGTACCAACTTGGAAGAGACGACCTTCAGGAGAGAAGATCGTAATGTGTCGATCGTAGCCTGCTCCGCTGCCTCTACTCATGTTTGTTTGTTGTTGTTCTGCTGAATCAAGTGTGAATTTAGGAGAGAGAGAAAAGGGAGAGAGTGAATTTGGGAAATGAGGAAAAGAATTTCGTTGGGGTTTAAACTTTAAAGTGGGGAAGTAGTAGCGCTTTTGGTGCCTTTTTGCGCAAGCCAGCCTCGTCTTTGCTTTATGCCGTTGCTAATTACCGATACTGCCCTCGTGATTTTAGCGTCTTCGGTGAGAATAGAGGTGGCAAATGAGTTGTTCGGATGAATGTTTTTAGTGAGTAATGACTATTGTGTAGTCATTTAAGTTGGATTTGATTGAGGTCGTGTTTAATTAGGTCCGATCAATATTTGGTTTTTGCATACTTTAGTCACCTTAATACATGTATTAAGGTTGGAATGAATTGGATAGACTTTGATTTAGGGCAATTTCTAACTTTAAGTCACCTTGTTCGAGTTGGGATAATTTTGTTAGGTCTAGGCAAAATTAGTGCTCATAGTAACTGTTTGAGTAATTCTGGATGTTAACTAGTACTTCGTATGTGTTAACTGCTTAGCTGGTTGTTAGAGGCTTGCATTCTACAACGTTAAGAGAAGAAAGGATAAAATGCTTTTTTTCCATTTTCCAATTGAAAAATCAATCCTAAAAATTAACAGAACGGAGGAGGATGCATATTTAGCCCTCAAAACCAAAATTACAATCAAGTGGGGGAAAAAAAAAAGTGTTTTACTTTCACAACAAATAGATTACTAAGTGTGATTATTCTTCAAATTTGACAAACATTAATGTTATGGGTTCAGACCGGCCTACATGCTGTAGCCACTGCTCTCTAGAAGGGCAGCTTGGAGATGAGATACATGCTAAATGTCAATAACCAGAGGTATTGAAGAAATTAAGTACAGGATGTAAGAAGGCAAATGAAGAGAAAAATGGTGTAAGACTACTGCGACCTCATCCTCTTGTCAGCAGTACCAGAAAAATCTGCTGAATTCCTTTTTGAGTTAGAATGTTGAGTGGCTTGACCATCTTTCGCTTTATTGCTTCTTAAAAAGTTGGAGAAGGAAGGAACAGGTGGTAGCACTATTTTTTGTGCTATGCTTTCTGATGATTCAGCAGTTGCAGATGGATCAATTCTACTTTTTTCATAGATAATTTCTTTCATAGGTTTAATGGAATTATTTGAGGAGGAAGTTGGCTCCAGAAGGGAAACCTCCTTTTTCTTCAAGTTGTTATTTGGGGTGTTGGACTGCAGCTTGTTAGTTAGATCATTTACAGTTGCAGTTGATAGCCACCTTGCTGTACTAGCCATCTGTGATAGATAAAACGTTTTCCCGCCTTTTTCACATTTCTTGTAGCATTCATTTTCAAGGATTGTGACGGCTGATTCAATGTCAACACTGTAAAGTGGTAATCAAGGAAAAGAGTTAGCCAAGATTCCACGAGAAAATAAACTTCATAGTATAAAGAAAAAGAAGGAACTGGCCTCATCAGTAAGATATAATACCCGAGTATTAAAAAAACCATACAGAAGTAGCTAATATTATCCCCTCCTGTTCAATCTTTCAAAGGTATGGAAATAAACAAGCTATAGGTAGCTTCTCTCGAGGGAGGAAAACAAATACAGTAATGTGGCCACTGCCCTTAAGTGAAAGAGCAGAGGATTTGGGGCAGAGATATTGGAAAACATTTGTATCAGATGAAAGACAAATCTTTTTTTGAAGGGACATGAAAGAACTATCTTAGTATAAAGGCTTCAGTTGCCTAGACTCACACAATATGCCACACGAGTATCACACATTCCTGACTCAATCCTTCAATTAAAAAGACAAAGAACCAAACAAAACCCTGCCGCCTCATAAGTATAATGTGAATAGCAGGAATGTTCACATGACAATTATTTTGAGACAGAAATAGGAAGTTAAAAATAATTATAGGAGAAAGAAACCGGCAAAAAAAGATTAAATGAAAGAGACTGAGAAAAAAGCATATGATTTGAATTTGAGGTTAAGCAACAAATTAAACCTGCCAAGTCGTTGATTTTCCTTCAAAGCATTTGCCAGCCGTTGCTTGCATGATTCTCTTAATGTGTCGGATATCAAATTTTTGTCTTTTCTACTAGTCTGCAATTAGCGTGATTAGATTACACAGGATATAAGAATGTACAATAAAGAAAAGGAAGGAAGACAGAAGGCCAACTAAATGCATATGACTACATGCATTGGCAAAGGCATAAGAATAGAATATATAAAAGAGAAACAGACCTCTTTCTGAGAGCCTTGGTTCTGATAATACTTTTCTTCTGCTCGCTGCAATATATCAAGTTTTTCACTTAACCGAGATCTTGATGAAAAGCCTGAGTAGCTCAGGCTTTTTAATGCTTCCCCTTCCTCTGAATTAAGAAAGTATTCAGTGATGGTAATGAGATGGTGATATAACGAAAAAAAAGCTATTGTACATTGTACCAAGCTCAATCAAAATTCAATCACAAATAACTGCCAGCTCATAAGGCTCAATAGTGAACTTCAACCAATAAGCCAGATAGGTTATTACCATCAGAATCTGATATTTCTTCTTCAGAATCACAAGATTTATCATCACTACGATTCCAAAATTCACTATACCATTCTCCATCAACATTGTTTGAGGAACTTCACAGAAAAATAGAAACATATTAATATTGGCCCAAAAAGAAGCAAATAAGAACACTGCAAAAAGAAGACAACACATAGTGAACATTTTGAAGCGTATCAGCAAAAGAAAGACAAATAAAAATATTCGAACATGACTGATTCCTACTGACACAGTTAGCACTTTGTCATAACTCATAAGCCTCACAAAACACCAGCAAAGAGATGAGAGCAAGATGTTTAAGAGTTTAAGGAATTGTTAATGGATAAAATAATGGTGATCTTCGAAGCAATTTACAAATAATTTCCAATATAAACTCAGTAACCCTCTGACTCCACAATAAATAGTCAATGACAATATCATGATAAATTAATCAAATGATACAAACCAGACTACCTGTTTATATCAACTCTAGCCAGCACGTTTTTCTGTCGAGCTGCTGAGGAACTTAACTGCTCCAGGTGCTTAGCCACTAAATTTGGCTGTTTGCAGGTATCACATGTTTTTCTGCAGAGAGATGCAGGGGCCTACAGTTTGAGTAGAAAAGAAGAACAAAAGGAAATAGAAGTTCAGTCTAAATGGAGCAAAAAAAACCTATGAAGTACTATATAGAATTTATCAATTTTTTTCTTTGTTGTGAAAAGGATGATCTACATAAAAAAATATTTAAAAATAATAAAAGCACACCACCTTTTCCCCAAAGCTCTGAAGAATTTTCTTCCTACGGCAATCAGCACCTTCACAGTACTCAACCATCTGTAATCACAACCAGGCAAAGTCAGTTCACTATTCCATTATTTCCCTCACCTCGTCTTGCCTTTGTGAAAAGACCACCTGTCTAAAATCATCGAGTGACTTCTTTGACGATGCATCTTCCAAACTTGAGGACTTTGATTTCTTGTTTTGAGGATTCTTCAGAATAAATTCCTGCAATATTGAAATTATTGCAGTTAAGATTTCGGCAATTATGTAGCCTTATTGTAACCTGAAAAAAAAATCAGGACATAAAAATCCAACCATTCTCTTGCGATCGTCAATGCTATAATATAAAACACTTCGACATGGCAACTGATCACGTCCAGCTCTACCAGACTCTTGATAAAATGCTTCCATTGACTTTGGGATATTGAAGTGACATACAATTCGAACATCCTTTCTATCTATTCCCTAAAGTTCAGCCAAAAGAGTCACAGATTACTTACTACTTTATTTCATTTAAACAATATAGTAAATTGTCAATAGTTGGGATTCCCCAGCTTAATATTTACAGAAACACGTACCATTCTGCGTGAAACATGTCATCTTCTATCACTTTATAGTCCCTTACAGAGCTCCATCCCAAATTGCAGCAAGTAATACAGTGAATGCATAAAAAACTATCTATAAGTTTCAGTGTTAATGTATTATAATATTAACAACTACGCTTTGCCAAAATGAGAAAAGAAAACACAGCACAACTTCTATTTGTTGTCATGCAAGGACATTTACATAAATTAATCAGAATAGTCCAATAATGCAAGAGTAAAATGATTTTGACTTAAGTCAGCACTTCTTAGTTATATGAAGTTCACCAACATAGATCTAATCAGTTTGCCAAAATACGTACGTTTAGAGATGATAAGAACAAAAGTGCCAAGATAGCTAGATTGTGCTAAATCCTCGCAGCAGTTCATACAATGCCTAATAAGCAGTTCATAAGGCCCAAAGATAAATATACATCTAAAGATAAAAAAATAAAAAATTATAAATATAGAAGTAGTCAGACACCATTTGAAATACTACTATAAAGAAGAAAGTGGCGTAGATTCTTTCTTTTTTTTATTGTCCAATTTTATTGTTCAAATTAACAAATGCATATTCAGCCAATCGTCTTTCTCTATTGCTGCTATAGTTACACTATATTGGGTTCAATCCCACTCGATATCAGATTTGATTTTTTTATAAGCACCAATCCAGAAATCACTGAAGTGCAATGCTATATTGGTATCATAAAAAAATCATACCCAAAGGCAACTGTGGCCACAACAACTTGTATCTTCGAAGAAATCCAATCATCTAAGACAGAGCTTCGTAATTTATTGTTCAAACCAGCATGGTAAGCTAAGGGAAAGGCAAAAGAAACATCACAATTTAAGTGAATAGAAAACATCATAAGAAGATATTGAAAAACATTACAAGAAAGACCATATTAGTTACCAGCGCATGATATGCCATTGCTCGACAAGTGAACAGCCAGAGCATCACAAGCTGATCTCTCAAGGCAGTAAATAATTCCACAGACATCTCCACAGGATTTCATTACCCCACATAAATCAGCATAGCTATCATCTAGAAGATCTTTATATCGAACTGCATCAATAAAAGCTTACTCAAGAATATGACCAAATCAATGACATACCAAATACAAGGGTAACAATAACCTAATCCCTCTATCTCTGTTTGTTTGCCCCATTGGGGTTTAACACGCTTTTTAATGAAAGTATAAGGTAGAGCGAAAAGGATAGTGGTTGTGTGCGGGCTCCAACATTAGAGAAAAAAGTAACCATATAGGAAATAAAGCCAACATTAGGACATCCCAAACAAGGAATATGGGACAAGCAAAAAGGGATGGAGGGAGTATCTCATAAAAAATGACATGCTGCAATCAGAATATCTGGATAAACTTAAAAGAAAGAAAATAAGGGAGAAACAAAGAATGTAGGGAGGGAAGAAAAAAATAAGAAACGGAAGAAATTTTCTGTCACAAGCATAGATACACTACCACGTAAACTTTGAACTTGTAAAGCATCTCATAAACACTTTTTATTTCAATAAGCATAGCCATCAACTCAAGAGAACATCAATATATTACTATCTTCTCAGATCGTTACATGAGTACTCACAACCTTTTCTCTGATATAAAATCCACCAGAAGGTTAACAAGCACTTAAATAGAATTATAATGGTGACTTGGTGTTTATATTCAAATTTTCAAAATGTACGGAAAACTTCCAACACTCAAAGAAGTTTTATATTGACAAACAAAGAAACATAATAATGAGCCTAAAGCAAGAAGTAGTACCACAACAAGTGACAAGTTTTGGAAAAAATATTGACAACCATCAGCAACAATCCAATAAGTATATGAATATATGATCATGTGCATCACTTCAGAGTTAAGACTGAATTCAACTACATGCTTTACAAATAACACACAAAAACTATGACTAATAAAAACTTTGAAAATATTTCATCTATGGACCAAGAGTCTATGGTCTCTCTTGGAATCCAAATACATAAAACCATAATACCCCTCACCCATATGCTTTTTAAATTTTCTAAAAAGGCCGATAGCACACATGGAACATATTCATATATTCTCCTCTCAAGGCAAGGTCTTGTCACAAAAGTTATTTCCCCTTTTCTATCTTCTTTTCACAATCTTATTCTCTTAATGAAATAATATTAATTCATATTACTTCCTTTTGCTGATAGACAGATGATAAAACCAGCAAATGAATGAGAAACTAAATAACAAAATTTTAAGGAATTCACCTTCATAATGTATATTAGGGCGATTGAAGGATGATTTTAGGACTAAAGGATTTTGCAAGCACAATGATTGAATGACATCAGTCTGAACCCTGCACTCGAGGGAAGAAAGAGAAACAATATAAATAAAGGATAAAATAAAGGTATTAGTAAGGAATAAATAGAAGTTCAACACAATTCTTAACACGAGGAAAATTCAATCCCATTAATTCTACAAGCAGTCTAATTTTGCAGCTATGTTTGATTTACAGGTACAAATGTCTTACTTTATCATTAATCAGTAATTATTCTAATCTGAATGCATCTATCCACCATGATTTCGTTACTAGAATGCTTCTCTGAAACCCATAATAACATGATCTGATGGCCATATATATAGTAATTGATGAATATCATAGATTACAATTTAGCAAACAGTTGTAGTACTCAAGTATCTATATACCTATACTAAAGGGAGTTTTTTAAGAGGGATTTTTTTTTTTTTTTTGGGCCGAATCATTAGTTGGCCTTTTATTATTTATTTATTTATTTATTTATGTATTATTATAATTGACTATTGAGTTACATTTCTCTAGAGACTTCTATATTTCAATTGCTATTGATTTTAAAAACCGAGCCATGTTTGGGAATTATTAGTGTGATAATAATTGATTGTCTACATTTTTATTAGGATAAAAAGATAAGCATAGAGAAGGCTATAGGTTAATCAAGCATTCATTTCAAGCAGAAAATCAGAATTATTCGGAATAGCAGCAGAAGGAATGAGAGGTGTGAGACAGTATGAAAACAAGGAGAGGAAAATTAGAAGACATTAAAATGCAGGACCAAAAAAAAAAAAAAAAGGTGGTTAACAGTATAGAGAGTTCAATGGGCTAAAATGGAGTATACCCCCTCCATCATAAGAAGCTGAAATTTCTTTAGTTTATTGTCAAAGACTCAAAAGTTCTTTTCCATAATTTGCATATTGAAATTATTTGACATTATGCATAAACAAGATATATGTAAGTGGTAAATGATAGGACTAAATAAAAGAGCACAATGGATGACGTTTTGTACAAAACTTTAAAGTGTGTTTGGATTGAAGGAAATGGAGGGAAAGGAAGGGAAGGGAAATGGAGGGGGGGAGTATCTTTCATTTGGATAACAAATGAGGAAGGACGGGAATTGGAGGGGAGAGAAATGGAGGGATTAAATTGTAAGAAATTTGAGAGATTTTGGAAGGAAAACTCATCATTTTTCCCTCCCCTCCCTCCTCTTCTTTCCCTTCCCCCTTCTTTATCCAAACATACTTTTAAAGTTTATCCAATTTTTGAGGGTGGAGGGGGTACAACTACTGCAGTGCTGGAAGCTCCTATAACATAAAATAGCCAATTTAGCAGCAAGGGTAACTTAAGATAGCAATTCCTTTAGGGAAACAAAACCATAGGAAGAATTAATAACATTTTAACGTCAAATTGCAGAGACTGAAAAAAATGGCATCATGTGTGAGCATTATTATATAGAAATACTATTAAGTTATTAATTGTAGCAAGTCTAGCCACCACTGGAGGACTTTGAAAGAAGTGACGAATAAGAGTAATATGTGCAGCTTACTTTGGTGCAGCCGTTGCTGTCAATGCCAAAATTGGGACATCTGGAAGGATGTCTCTCAAAGAAGACAGTTTCCGGTAGCTTGGCCTATGATATAAATTAACTGTTAATGAAAAAACAATTAAACCAACCCATTTGTAAAGTGCAGTAGCAGAAAATCCACATAAATGTAGTTGTAGCTGATTTAGCTTAAAAGTCTCAAAAACTGAGCTTGAGCCTAATGAAAGCAAAAGAACGCATAATGGGTGGAACATCAATTATTAATTAACATATTGAGAGTGAATGTGCATGTAACACACAGTATGTGCCATCAATTTACCTAACAATGCCAAGAACATGTCTGCTAGATGTAGTCAATACAAAACCATAGGAGTAATTTGTATTACATAATAGAACCTTATCTAAAATATATCACTGTTTATAGATAGGGCTGGCAAAACGGGTTAGGGTTGAGATTTTCGACCCAAAAACTTAAATGGGTCGACACAAACCCGACCTAAAAATTAAATGGGTTAGGTTAAGGTTGAAAATTCCAACCCGAAAATGACCCACTAAACCCGAAATCATTTTCGGGTCAAAATCAGGTCAGGTCAACCCGAACCCGACCTGCCTGATAACCCGAACATGTATTAGTTAGATTAAAAAATAAATAAAGAAACCTATTTATTTATGTAATAAAATTCGGCCCCACCCAATATAGGTTCTAATAATATCTAAAACCCTAAAATCCCAAATGGCTTTCCACACACATTCTCAGGCCGCTGGAGGCTCTTTCTCTCTTATGTTTCAATTTTCTCTCTCTTCAACTTTCAAGTTCTCAAGATTTCAAACCTTAAAATCCTTTGTGAGTCGCTCTCCATCTTCAAATTTCCTGATCTCCTTCACGTTTTAAACGTTTAACCAAGGTAATTTGCTGATTTCAAATTTTCTTTTATACGTTTTTGTTTTTTTTTTCTTTTTAAAATACGGTTTTGTTTTAGAATTTTGTTGTTGATGTTGTTAATATGCTTAAATTTCTGTTGTTAATTTTTATTGTTGTTGATTTGTTGATATAAATTATACATGTTCATATAATTTTTTATATAATTTCTTTTATACAGTTCTGTCAAATTATTCTTTGATAGTTATGTTTAATTTGTGATTTGAAGGTACTTTGTGGAAGAAGCCAGTTAGATCCGACGGTAATAGGTTGATGCATGTGCGAAATTTGGGTCAGATCTTAAGCTACTTCAAGTAGAAGCTCACAAATTCAGAAGTTTTGTACATGAGAAAAATTTATGTAAATTATTTGCATTATAAAATGTAAATTATTTATTTATTTTTTGCTTTGAATAAATCTATGTAAATTATACGTATGTAATTTGTGAGTTTATACAGCTGTGAATTTACCATATTAAATCGATTCTAATACGAATTAACAATGCCAAATCTGCCAAAAAAAATATAAAAAATAAATAAATAAAATCAGGTCAATTCAGGTTGACCCGAACCCAAAAAAATCAGGTTCAGGTTGAGCTTTCTGACCCAAAATATTAAACAGGTCAGGGGTTTTCAACCCGAAACCGAAATGACCCAAACACGAACCCGACCCGATGTGTTTGCCAGCCCTATTTATAGGAAGGATGGTTTGTTGGAGAATTACCTACGTAGGATGTGAGATGAGAGAAATAATAAAGAATGTTGGAGTGGGGACCATAAGGAGAGAGAAATAATTTAAAAGGTGGTAGTGGGGACCAAAACAGAGATAGATATAATTCAAAACAGTAGTTTGTTTCAAAAAGGGAAAGTGGGTCATATAAAAGAAAAAACACACTGAGGTTTTTTTTTTCTTCTAGTGCTGACTTGCTTAAATTAATTAATCTAGCAAAGTACTCTATCAAATTACTTGATGCTCACAATTATGAAGAAATTATATAGGGAAGCTATTGCTCCTGATAAAAAGCATGCAATAATGGGGATAGATTGTCATAAAAGCTATTTAACAATGGTTTTCTCCATCTAATGACTAAGCAGAATAATGCTTTTCCACCCCAAAAAAAAACAGAAGCATCTTTGATTTTAATCTCAAAGAAACAGACCTGTGAAGCTTTTGTCCTGATTTCATTTAATATATGTGAAAATTTAAGGATAAAATGCACCATAAGAGCAATGCAGATGACTCAGTGCAAGGAACTCATGGAAAAGATCCAGATAACAAACCCAAAAATAAAACTAGATAGCAGATAGTCACTTGCTTGAGGTGAACCCATATTATAGCACAAACCTGAAGTCATGACCCCACGATGATATACAATGCGCCTGAAACATTTGAACAGAAAACAAAAAAAGAAAACACACACAGTTAATACTTCAAGGTAACCAATTCTTGAATTCCAATCACTGGCACAGAGATAACAGCACACCTCATCTATGGCAATCAAATGCAACAGCCCCCTGCCATGATTTTGACAACTTAATGCTGAAACCTGATGTAGCTATCAACTCTGGAGTCACATACAGCAGCTTCAGGGAAGGTTTTCCAGAGTTCAGGTCCTCGTAAATCTAGAGGAAAGACAACAAGGTCAATGCAAATGAGAAGCTATAGGGAAAAGGAGAAAGATCAATATAGTCGATATAGATCTAAAGAACAGAATAAAAGAGACAAAACTGGTAAAATTGATCATAAATTGGCACAGCAAAGCCAAGGAAAACATAGTAAGGCAAAAACATAAGAAGAGTAGTTCAGTTTGGAATCCACAAAGTGCATAATGGTGATTGAATGATCCCACACGGCCACATGTGAGCTTCTGATTGTATCCTGACGGAAAAGGTTGCTTTGATCTAATCATCAAATTGACAGTATAATAATTATATCCAACAAGTGACACCATTTCAGAGCATATACAAGTCACTACCATCAGTCCATCACCATCTAAAATTTATTCTGTCTTCACTATACATTTGATTTGGTGATCCACATGAAGAAAGCCTCTGAAGTGGCAAGGCTTTTTGTAATCTGGGTAATCCATGGTATACAGCTGGCTTTCAACCCTGGTCAACTGGTGTGTTTTGCAGTCAAAACTTTTACCAATATCCATGTTTCCCCAAAAAAACCTTTGCACTCCTAAGTTACCATTTGGAAGGCCACCACCCCAAAAACTGTCAAACTGACACTATGCGGCAATAAGAGCCTTCACACATGGAAAACACTACTTTTGTAACCTATTCATCCAATATTACTTTTCCTAATGATTTTTTTGGGAACTTAATACATGTTTCATATTATGTGTAACATTCACTAAAAACGGTTGCTACACATTATGTGCAACAAATGACTTCTTTCCTATTTAAGTTGTCATTTCTATCAATCTCTCTTCTTCTCACTCTGAGTACGTGTCAAGGCCTTTGTGCACATAATATGAAACAGAGGTAGTATTAGTATATAAGGAAAATATATACTTCCTCCATTTTTTATTTATTGCACCACTTGCCTTTTAAGGAAATTTCACAAATATTGCACCATTTCCATTTTAGGAAACAAAATATCTTTGTTCACACTACAAATACCCAATATACCCTTACTTTTGCCACTTGATTTTTTAGTTTATGTTTACATTACATGGATAAATTTGTAATTTTACCCCTCTCTCTCTTCCTTATTCCCATTACCAAAAAAAAGTTTGCCAACCTCTATGGTGCAATAATAAAAGAACGGAGGAAGCATATAATATGAAATATTATAAAATTTGCTTCATTGTGTATTTTCAAGCATTATTTATATACGACTAAAAATTTTAATAATGTGAAAGTCAATACAACAACGACGACGACGACAACAAAGCCTTAGTCCCAAAATGATAATAATGTGAAAGTCAATGTGTGAAATATAATGTAGGACGAAGGGAATGCGTCATATTTATCAAAAAATGACATTTGAGATCAAAATCAATTTGTATCAATTAAATGCATCCTTAGAATTCTTGCAGTAATACATGAAAGAGACGAATACTCTTCATGTTAATCGACAAATAGCATGGTAGATAACCCTGTCATATATTAGATCCACCCTACGCCTTGCACTATAAGAGTTGGATAAGTTTAATATATGGTCATTTCTCTCTAATGTATCTCTAAAAAATTTACTAAGTTGTTCCGAGTCCGAAGACAAAATTGAAAAATTATTAATGAAATTCCTTTTCAAGCACGACTCAATGCTAAACGCTTAAGGCAAGGCATTCGCATTCCAAGCACATCATAAGATAAAACAATGCCTACGAACAACCAACCCACAAGGACCACAATGAAGATGTAAAATTTTAATGGTTGAAATTAAAGATAAACTGGATATAAAAGATAAATAATTCAAGTATTTATAATCAAACATAACATCTCACTAATGAAGAAGGTTACATCCAACAAGTTGTTTCAAATAACAATTTTTAAACAAAATCTTACTAGAATTTTCATAACGGAAAGGGGAGGTGAGCATAATAAATGGTCATGACATAACATATGATAAAAATTACAAGGGTACCATGTAAATTTCTAAAAATACAAATGGTCTACCAAATACAACTTTCACAAGTAGAAGGGAGCTGCATAGAAATCTACAAATATTTACTTCTTAAAACAACACTAGGAACTAAATGCATTGAGATCAGAAACTAGATCAACTGCAATGTCTAAAAGTAATATCTTGCCATAAGTTTTTTTTTTTTTTTTTAAATTCATATCAGTATTTAAATAAATCGCCAATGGATGCCTAGAATTACCTCTATCTATTTATACCAAATAATACATTAAGCTTAGTCCAACAGAATCTGTATGGGAGTGAACAGCACCATCACAGTTTAAGCAAATTAAGATTAGAACTTATATTAGAAACAACAAAGTCCCTTATGAGGTTGACCCTCAAGCATCCATAAAATTTGTGTCAGATATACAATCAAATGTCTAGTAAAAAAATAGAGACAATGCCAAAATTCAAGTGTGCCTACACTGATGAAATGTTTAGTTTCTGTTGTAATCAACCTTTCGCAAATGGCAACATGGAATGACAACTCAAAAACATACCCTCTCTCTGACAGCAGATGTCTGAGTTGAGGAGAGAAACTCAGCTCCAATGCCCTTCTCCTTCAAGGCCTTCACTTGGTTTTCCTAAACAAGATAATTTTCATGTGTATATTACACCAGAGCCTGGTAAATGGGAACAAAAACAATCAAAACAAAAGAGAAATAGATAATTCTATAATGAATACAATGCCCTTACCATCAAAGCTGACCACGAAAATGGAAGTGATCAATTTCAGTCATAGAATTGCAATTTAGCCATAAATCAAAGACGGTATACAAATCTCCTCAAGATAAAACAATTAGACAAGACAAATGACAATCACCTATTAAAGGGCAAACAACAAGGACAATGCCATTATTTGCAAGGGCAGGAATCTGATAACACATTGACTTCCCCCCTCCAGTGGGCATAAGACCAAAACAATCCCTTCCTGTATAAAAGGATCAAAAGTCGTAACCAGTACATCCAACTGATGCTTAGAGCATCATATATCATCAAATTGCATACAGTACTTCATTAGCATAACACAATTAGCAAAACTAAACTGGAAGATTAAAACCTGATAAAACAGCTTCGATGGCCTCTAGCTGCTTGCCTCGAAATTCAGAATGCCCAAAATGCCATCTCAATATTTTGACCAAAGCTTCCTTCCCACATTTATTCTTTGGTGTCCCACATATATTTTGCACAGGTAATGGTGATTTCTTCATTTTACTACTGGATTTCGAACCCTTCAATACAAAACATCATGGAAAATTATTTTTAAATAGGAAAACTTAATACTACTATAATTTTACCAGAAATAACCTACTCCGGGAGTTTACTTGGGTAGCCAGTTATTTGTTAGTATTCAGAGGTTCAAAGATTTCAAAGCATTGAGCGCTATTAGCTATTAACCAAAACTACCTACAAGACCCAGTAGGCCAGTAAGTGTAAAAAAAAAGTTACACATGTTGAACAGATCAGAAAAAGGTTTTCAAAAGAAGCATAGAAAACAATAAAGACCAAATTGAATTGAAAGGAATGAATCACCAGCAAAAACAAACTCCCCCAAACAGAAACTACAAACCAACTCATCCAATTCTACCACATATTTACTTATCAAACTTCTTATTCCCAAGCTTTTAAACTAGATTGATTGATACCAATTCCAAAAATTATTATGCACTATGGATGACAATTCGACTCTTGAAGACATACGAATGTCATAACTCCAGTAATCAACTCCCAACTTCAATTTAATTTACAAACCAAAAGAACATTAAGGGGCGTTTGGTTCCAAAAATGGAAAAGGAGTGGAAAGGAAACAAATTAGGGGGGGGGGGAAAGAATCATTTAGTTATTACCTTTTCATTTGTTTGGCTTAACCATGAAAAGGGTATTTGTTAAGAGGAGGATAAGGGCTCATTTGTTACCCAAGTTTTTGAAAGGTAACAAATGAGGGGTAACCATTACCCTTGGGTAATGGTAATTGTTACCAATGCCTTCAAACCAAACACACGGTAATGGTATCAGTTTAATCGAATCCGTTTCCAATCCAAAAAATACACTTACCAAACGCCCCCTAAGAGGGACAACATCTAAATAAAAATAGCATTTGTGTCACAAATTAGACATAATAACAACGAGAAATCGTAACAAGAAAGGCTGAAAGAGTGAAAGGGACGACGCCAAAATAAGTACATAACAACAGCATTTTTGCCACAGATTACGTAAATAAACATTAAAAGATAAATATACAACAGAATAAACAAGGCCATTACACCATACAATGGCATTGAAACTGCAAAAAGTTCCGAAATTTCGATACAAACTGCTAAAAGGCATGTAGAGTAAAAGTGACCTAGACGCATTTAGAGTATCAATAACCAAAATTCAAAATGCATTGAAATAATAAAGATAGATTTTAGATTATAATTAACAATTTTAGATTTAATTGAACGATAATTTGGGATATAAAATGAGTTCGTCGTCGTTACGAAAGGAGACAATTACAACAAATTTCGATCATGGAGGAGAGAGAAAAAGGGAAAGAGTTGCAAACCTAAAATTACAGAAGAGATTCCAACAATGTGAAAGAGAGAAACGACGGTACTAGCGAAATCAACAATGGCAGAGTTTTGCCGGGAAGAATACGTGAACTTGAACGGTTGAACCTCAACTTAAACTTCAACTTGAATGGTCCATACAATTATTTGGGCAACAACCCTCACCCCTTCACCAGTCACCAGCCTTGTTATTCACAGACGTCGGACGAGTATTTGGTTCAACTCATGCCCAAATCAGGATTTTTTACCAAATTAAGCCAACTTGGCAAATTATTTTGTAAAGTGGACTCGTGGCAAAAGTATTTCCCAAACTAAGCTTCTAAGGTAAAACGCTGTCTCAGACAGTGTTTTATGTTAGTTGACTTTTATACAAAAAGTTCGAATTTCCTAGTTAAGAAAAAAAAAACTCAAATACAGAAAACGCTGCCTCGGGCTGCGTTTATACAATTTAATGAAACGCTGCCTGAGGCTGCGTTTATTGTTCAAAGGAAAACGCTGCCTCAGGCAGCGTTTCTTGCGAGGAATATACTCAGTGTTCTGCATTCTTACTCTCATTCTCACTCTCACTCTCGTTCTCACTCTAACTCTCCTTCGCAACTCCTGCCACCGCCGCTGTCGGTACTACCTCCGCCGCTGTCACTTCCTCTGCCGTCGCGGAAGTGAGAAGGAGCTGCTGCCGCCATTGCCCCACTGTCACACTTATGATCTCTCGCTCACTCAATTCAGGTAAACCCTAAATTCATAGTATAATGTTGAAATTTGCTTTGAATTGTTGTATATTGTAGCAATTTGTCATGTAAATTGTATTAATGTGTTGGTAATTAGTAATGAAAATGTGGTAAAATGTTGATAATTATTGATGGTAATGTGGTAGATTGTTGATGAAAATGTAGATGAAATTGTTGATGGTAATGTGGTTTATTTTTGTGAAAATAATGATGAAATTGTTGATGTTAATGCGGTACTTATATGTGAAATTTTATGATGAAATTGGTTATAGTAATCATTTTGCATTGCAACCTAAACTAAGAGTTAATGAAATTGGTGATGAAATTTTTGATAGTGAGAATGGCCTTGTTTCATTGCTATGTATGTTATGTATGGTTCAATTAGGCTTTTTTTTACGTTGTTTTAGAGTTCGATTATCCTAAAATGTGATTTGGTTGTTATGTAGAATATGGCTACACAAAATGTAGTGTTGTTATGCCGGTGGGGAGGTGAAATTTTGTTCGATAGACCAAGTGTCGAGTACATTGGAGGAAATATGGAACCTATAACACTTGAACCTAACATGACAGTCATTGATTTGATGAATGAGGTTCATAGCAGTATTGGTTCAAACCCAATGAATGTTGAACTAAACATTAAAATGAGGTTTGAGACTGGTCATGGGGTTCAAGTGGTACCTGTCTCTACAAACAAACATTTGAAAGCTTTGAGGAGTATTGTCGCAATGAAGGGTGTTCCCAATGAGATATATGTAGAAACGGTGCCTATATGTACCCAACAAAGTACTCGGGCAAAACAACATGCTACATATGTCTCTGATTTCAACACCGCGTCCTTTCAAGTGCCCTCAAACCACATTCCATCGAATGAATATGGGATGGGAACTTTTAGTCGAATGCTGCATGACGATCAATTTCACATGCCGTTTAGTTCTCATATAGCATCACCTGTACATGCGGGTGGATGTGTGACAATGCTCGGCCAATCCGGTCCTTCGACATCAAACACCGTGGCTCTTTCACCGATGCAAGATGAGGTGCAACCATCACCGTCTCGAGAAGAGCCAACTCATTTTGATAATATTGTGAACAACGAATTGTCAGTCTACGATGTGTATGCGGATACAACTGATGAGGACGACAACGGGGAGGAGGATGATGGATTTGAGCTCATGGATGTTGAACCTGGCCAGATGGGAATTGATGAGCCCATGGTTAGAACTCCAAGACCTTGGTTTAGTCAAATAAACGAGAATTATGAAGTTGATGAGTATTGGGCCGATTCGGGTAGCCAGACATCATATGTTCCAGGGGAAGAATTTGAGAAGGGCATGTAATTTGAAAGTAAGAAAGTGCTTCAAGAAAATGGTGAAGATGTATTCTATACAGAGAAATCAATTCTACACCACAGTCACCTCAAATGAGAGTGTCCTTCATCTGCGTTGCAAGAAGAAATGTGGTTGGTCTTTATGGGGTACTAGGACAAGTAAGCACTCGTGTGGCTTCACCCTAGTCACTAAAGCTGGGCACGGGTCGGGCTCGCACGCGGGCCGCCCGGCATAGCACGGCATGGCCCGGGGTGGTGGCCCGGCACGACACGGTGGCCCGCCGGCGTGCCGTGGGCCGTGCCATGGACAAGGGCTGAACTTTTCAGCACGGCACGAGCCCGCCCCTTGGCCCGCCGTGCCAGCCCGCCGGCACGCTAATTATATATATATTTATAATATATAAATATATATATATTTATATATAAATATATAAATTATATATTAATATTTATATATATTTAATAAATATAATATAAGTTATAAGTTATAAATATAATAATTTTATAAATTATAACTTATAAGTTATAATTATAATTTTATAAATTATATACATTATAATATAAGTTATAATTTTATAACTTATTAACCATTAACAAAAAATAAATAAAATAAAAAATAAAATAAAAATTGGAAATTGCCAAGCCCGCCAGGCCAGCACGAAGGCCGGCACGGCACGAGCCCGCCAGGCATGAGGGTCATGCCATGCCGTGGGCTGGCCTGTGAAATTGGCCGGCACGGCACGACACGACAATCTGGGCATGCCGGCACGACCGGCACGGCACGTTGGTGACCGTGGCCCGTAAGGCACGGCCCGCGGCGGCCCGGCACAGCACGATGTCCAGCTTTACAAGTCACATACAAAGGGCCGCACCGGGAGAACTATGTTACTGAAGTACTATCTACTGATCACCCACACTTGGATTCGATTATAATATCTGAGTATGTGAAGTCCTTTGTGGAGAAAGATCCGACCCTAAAAGTTGAATTCATACAGGAACTCATCTCCAAGCAATTCCATTTTGATGTTCCGTATCGAAGAGCATGGTATGCCAAGGACAAAGCCATCACTCAAATTTTTGGGGATTGAGAGAGTTCTTACATCAGACTTCCTCAGTTCATGCAAGCACTGCAACAGTCAAACCCGGGAACCACAGTCTTACGGAAACACAAAGCTCTAGTTTCTTACTTGCGAGTTTCTTTAATTTTCTTGTTTCCAAAAATATTTGCGGCCTTGTGAGTTTCTTTAATTTTCTTGTCTCCAACAATATTTGAATTTTTATATCATATTAATAAGTGGTGGATGATTAATGCAGGCGGGGGATGTGAGTGCGATGGTTGATGCACTATCAGACGCCTAAGCAGGCATACCCACCAGAGCCCAGGTAGAGCGGGTGCGAGATATGGGCATGGATACCTTGCAGAGATTTGGCCATGGCCATCTCATCCAGCCGCGGGACGATCATGGACACCACCCGTTCCATTCACAATTCGAGTTTGGACAGAGTAGTGGTGGAGATGATACTACCGCCTCCACACAGGTAGAGGATTACATCTTCCATGATACCGCTCCCGGCCATACCCAAGATGACTCATCGTCTAGTCAGCTCGCCTCGAGACCCATTCACCCGCATTCAGCATTACACGAGGCATCCTCGTAGACGGAGGGAGGACACACAAGATGTAGATTAGTTACATCCAATACATGAGTCGGGATAGTAGTAGTTGATTTATTTGTGGTACTCTTATTTTCTACAATGTTTTATATAACACTTACATTATTAATACAAGAAATGTTTTTTATATTAATCTCTGTACAGTTTGATTTTTAATTTCCTTATTTGTCCGAATCGGACTTATGTCAGTAAAACTAGATCTTTTATGGCCGATATATATCAAACAACATAAATTTGGGCTCCATAATAAGAAACAGGGTTTAACTGATGGTCTGCTCTAGGGGTGTTCAGATCCGGGTACCCAAAACTTCGGGTAGTTGATAGGTCGGCCTGTGTCCCGTCCCGAATAATTCGGGTACGGGACACGGGTACCCGAATTAAACACCACCACGAAAAAAAACCCACTAACCCAGATCTACCACCAACTCAAACTCGCGCACTCCCTCACTTTTCACCACCCCCACCAGTCCACCACCCACTTGGCCACCATAACGACAAACTACAACAACAACAAACGCTCAAACCACCGCGTCACCCCGCAAAAATAAAAACCAACAAACCAACCCAACCAAACCCCACCCACACCAAGCCGAAACCACCACCACCAAAATTTAAACAAAAATACTGAAATTTACCAAAACAAGCACGAAAATTACCAAAAATCATATCATATAAATGGATTTATTAAAAATTCAAAAAAAAAAAAACAAAACAAGAAAGCATACCTTTTAAACCGAAAATGACCTTGAATTTCGCCTAGAAATTGGTTTAAAATGGTCAAATTCGACCATGAAAACTCTAGATCTAGAGTTTTCATGGTCGAATTTAACCATTAAAACCTTCGTTTTAGCCAAATTTTACAAATTTTGTGACGAAAACCTTTGATTTGACCATGAAATCGAAAGTAAGAGAAAAAAAAAAGAGGAGAAAGAGTGACTGAGTAAGGCTTGACTGCGTGAGAAAGAACAAAGGGGAAAAAAGGAGGAAAGAGAAAGAAGGGAGGAGAGGAGAAAAAGAGGAAAGAGAAAGAGAGTAACAGGGGAGCTGAAAAAGAAAGAAAAGAAGATGTGGGTGGGTTAGTAATAGTGGGTTATACGTAACCTTTTATTAATGATTTTTTTGTGTTTTTTCTTTTTTTTTTTTTTTTTATTTACACGGGTACCCGATAATTGCAAAGTTTGCCCCATGTCCCAGCCCACGAAACTGGTATTTTAGCGGTACCCGTCCTGCTAAAAACAGAAAATTTTATAAATTTCCCGTCGGGTTTTTTGCGGGTCATCGGGTAATCGGGACGGGACAATCGGGTCGGGTTTTTTTGAACACCCCTAGTATGCTCTAGTTTATGTGCTGTTTCACGGTGGTTGTAGTGTTGTTGGGGTTGTTTTGAGTGTTTGATGGTTGTTGGTGGTGGTCAATGGTGGTGGAAAGGTTTGGGCTGGTGGTGGGAATGCTCGTGTATTGTTCGGGGTGTTTTGAAGTGCATAAGGGTGGTCGACAGTGGCGGCCGATAGTGAGCGGTGGGGGGTGGTGGGGGTGTTGGTTGAGGGTGCTTGTTGAGGCTGGTGGTTGAGGCTGGTGGGTGAGGGTGGTGTGTAGGGGGCAGATTTTGGACAGGAAGAGGTGCTGGCTGCTGGGGATGCAGTCCAGCAGAAAGACGCTGCCTGAGGCAGCGTTTTATTCTGTAACATAAAACGCTACCTAAGGCAGCGTTTTATGGTATACATACATTTGTTAGAATTTTTTTACAAAATACATACAAAAAGTCAAGTACCATAAAACGCTGTCTGAGACAGCGTTTTATGTCTTGGATTTTTTTTAAAAAAAACTCTGGGTATAAAACGTTTTACCTCATAAGCTTAGTTTGGGAAATACTTTTGCCACGAGTCTACTTTGCAAAATAATTGCCCAATTTGGCTTAATTTGGTAAAAAAATCCCCCAAATCATGATAAAGTATTGTGTAGAACGGATTCGTGTGAGTCCGGTCATACAAACAGAAAAAAAATTATTATAATGGTCAGATTATAAATATATGAAATTATATTATATATATATATATATATATCAGATATTAGGTTATATATATAGATATTAGGTTACTTTTGCCAAAGCACAGACCCTCCATTAAGATCTCTTCAAATTTCTCTATCTCTTCCATCAAAGGTTGGCTCTTTTTATTTTTTTCCTAATTTTACTGTATAACAATAGCAAGTCCAATACCATTCAACGCCCTTAGTGGTGAGGTTATATACATCAACGCAGCCATACGCTTCAGTACCAACCCATCCACCTTGTTGTGCAGCCAACTCCAACAAGTAGAGAACGAGTCAGTTGGTGCATCTGTTAGCTGGTCCACCAACCCACTATGAGCCCATATCTCAAGGGAAGCAGTGCAGTAAAATAGGGAGTGAATAATCGTCTCCCTTCGCTCACCACAGATTTGGCACGAGGCGTCACTTGTCACATGGCGTTGTACCAATCTATCCTTGACTGCTAGATTACCCTTTACAGCACCCCACACGAAATACCATTTTTTGTATAGCTCCAATACATACAGTCGGCTCTCATGTGAAGAGGCCAAGGGATAGACAGAATAGCAGCTGCAGTCTCTGAATCCACTAATCCCCGAACCTTAGTTGCATCCCAGGCTACCACTCTATCCAACATGAGATCACGCACAGGCATATCATCCTCAACCCCTGTAGGCTGAAGCAATACAGTTGGCTTGCCATCCTTAATCACCCACGCGTCTTTCCAAGCCTTGATGTCTCTATCATCACCCACCCTCCAAGCTAAACCATCACGAAGAAGACCCTTTCCACCCCACATACTCCTCCACGAGTAACTTGGGTCATATCCTCTCAAAGCCTTTATCACCGAGGAATTCTTAAAGTATCGAGCCTTAAGAATTTTAAAAATAAGGGAATTTTGATTCGATTGTAGCCTCCATATTTGCTTGGCCACTAAGGCTTGATTAAAGTACTTGAGATCCCTAAACCCCATCCTCCTTTTTCCTTCGGCAAACACAATCTCTCCCACCTTTGCCAATGCATCTTCTTATGATCCACCGTCGATCCCCACCGAAATTGGCTTAACAAATTTTGAATTTCATCAATAAGACCCTCTGGAATTTTAAATATGCTCATCATGTAGGTAGGAATGGTTTGGGCAACCACTTTTATTAATACCTCCTTCCCCGGTTTCGACAACAACTTCTCTTTCCACCATTCAACTTTTTCCAAATTCTCTCCTTCAAGCACGCAAAGATAGCCCTCTTTGACTTCCAAATGATCGTCGGAAACCCCAAATACTTCTCATGCCTATCCACTTCTCGAACCCCTAGTGTATCAACAATCTCGTGTCTTCTTTCGATAGTCACACATTTACTAAAAGCAACCTCTGTCTTATCAAGATTAACTTTCTGACCAGATGCTCTTTCATACATCCTGATTATATCAGCAATTTTCGAGCATTCCTACAGGGTATCTTTTGAAAATAGAATACTATCATCGGCTAAAACAAATGAGTCACTCTAGGAGCAACCTTACAAATCCTTGCCCCACTTTCATGAGCAGCTTTTGATAGAAGGCATGAAAAAGCATCCGCACATAAAAGAAATAAGTAAGGTGAAATAGGGTCACCATGCCGGAGTCCACGAGTCGGAATGATCGAACCAAAAATCTCATCATTCACTTTGAAGGAGAAAGATACACTAGAAATACACTCCATAACACGACGAACCCACAACTCCGAAAAATCCATCTTGTATATAACTATCTTAAAAAAAACTCCTCTCTACTCTGTCATAAGTCTTGCTCATATCAAGTTTCAGGGCCACAGTATCAGGTCTCCCATCTTCCCCTCATTTCATAAAGTGAAAGATCTCAAAAGCAACCATGGCATTATTAGTAATTAGCCGCCCTGGGATAAAAGCACTTTGATTTACATAAATAATATCATTAAGAAATGGCTTAAGCTTATTCGCCATTGTCTTCGATATTATTTTATAAATCACATTAAAACAACTAATTGGTCTAAATTCAGTCATATATTTCGGTTCATTACATTTAGGAATCAAAACAATGCAAGTGCTATTAATCTCTGAAATATTAACTAAACCCTTCCACCAATTTTTCACCAAAGTAACAATATCAGTCCCAATAATGTGCCTGAATTTTTGAAAAAATATGGCATGCATTCCATCCGTACCTGGGACTTTGTTAGGGTACATCTGGAAAAGAGCATTTTTAATTTCCTCCGAGCTCAGAACCTCCTCCATCACATTATTCATTTCATCCGAGACAACCCACTCCACGCCCTCCAAAGCAGCGTCAAAGTCAGTTGGATTGTCTGTGGAAAATAACGAGCCAAAGTACTCCGAAACAATGCTTCTAATCCGCCTCTCATCAGTTCTCCAATCACCATTCGCATCAAACAAACCATCGATACGATCTAATAATGCCATATTTTTATCACTATCCCGTATCACATTTGCCCTCGACCTTGCATACCAATATGACTCCTCCATTCGCCGGAGCTCATTAATTTCACCCGCCAAATTTTCTACTTTTTCGAGCATAGAAGCGTCAATATGGGCACCCTGTGCTTCCTGCAACTCCGCCTCACATTTTCTAATTTTTCTTTTTATTTCACCGAAGGACTTTGCTGCCCATTTGGTAAGGTGCTCGGCACACAAAACTATTCGTTGATGCGGTGCATTCCCAACTCCTTCCTTCCAAGCTTTCGAGACAACCTCCGAACATTCCTCCTTTGATAGCCACATTGCCTCAAAACGAAACAATTTCCCCTTCTTTCCTCTCTCATAATAATTGGTAGTGTCAAGCAAAATTGGAGTATGATCCGATGCCACTCTGGCCAAATGTTGAACTGAGAAATTCAGGAACATGTTGCACCAACCATCATCCCCCAAAAACCTGTCTACTCTTTCTCTCATTACCGTGTCAACATAATTCCCTCGTTGCCAAGTAAAGATACAACCTTTATACCCAAGATCGCGCAACTCACAGTCATCAATGGCACTAAGGAATCCCTATTAAATTCTCCCTCCGAATTGCTCCACCATCCTTCTTAGACATGCTCACAATCTCATTAAAATCACCGAACATGACATAAGAGATGTTACAAGAATTTTTTAGGCTTCTCATTAAATCCCATGTCTTATGTTTATTTTTCGACTTCGGCCAACCATAAATGCCCGTAGCTCTCCAACTAGGAATACCATCACTATTGCACACATTTGCTGCAAAATTGTTAGCAGAATAAGAGATCATATCAACATTCAATTCTCGCCACCAAAACACATGCCACCCGAACGACCATTACTAATCATGCAAATCCCATTCTCATAACCACACCTTCTCTTTATTCTCTCCATGACACTACTATCTACCTTAGTCTCCATCAGAAACACTACATTTGGCCTCTCTCTCCAACATAAATCCCGGAGAGTCCTCCCCGTCCATAGGTTGTCAATCCCATAGACGTTTCAACTTAATATTTTCATTTATCTGTTCGAGGGGTTGGGTGTGTCCAACTCCCTCTACTTGTATATAACTGTCCCCAGATTGAGTAAAAGCATTCACCTTCCTCTTCTTTTCTTTCTCGTTTTCAAGCACTCTATCCCCATCACACTCCATCAATGACAAGCCCCTCTTTTTGGATCCAATATAGTAGTACTCACGCCACTCCCCACACCCTGGTAACCCTCCTCCATCCTCTCATATCTTTTCCACCCCTTGAAACCTTCACTTTTTCCTTCACTCCCTCCTCTCTACCTCTACTTTCCTGCTGGTGCCCCACATTCACCAGTAAAACCTCCCTACCCCTCTACGTCCCCATCTCACCCAATAAAGTAATCCCCCCCCAATAGCCTCACCTTCCTGTATCTCCCAAGCCAACCTATTATCCACTCCCTCACTAACCCCCCTCCTCTTATCCATGCATACCCACTCCATGTTGCACTGACAAGTCCACTGCATAGCTCCTCACATTACTTCCCACCACAGCATCCCTAAGTACACGTTGCGGACGCAACACATGTTTGTTTATCTGGGAGTCAAACAACATAGCTACACTAGCTTCTGGTACTTTCGGGCGAGCAATAGAACTACTCTCTGCCTGGTTAGAAAAATGTAAGCTTACGCGCCACACCCACAGGCCCCAGCCTAATTGTTTGCTTCTCAGTCTCAATGTAGTTACCACGCCAAATAGCTTCCATCTTCTCACCCCACAATCTTTCTTTCTCCCTAGTAGCAAAGGTCTTTTCCGATTGTTTAACCAAGTTCTGTATTGATACACAATCACATCTGATGATTCCCTCTCAGTCTCCTTGGCAACACATTCTTTGTATGTATGGTCTAACATACCGCAGTAAAAACAGAAATCCGCAAGGCGTTTATGTTTAACGTCCACCCATTTTGATTTCGAGCCACCAACAACAATAAATACGCCTCTTCTCAGGGGTTTCCTAACATCAACCATTATCTTTAGACTCATGAATTCGCCCCACCCAAGCGGATTGAAGTCGTCGAATTCAACAAAACCCCCAAGTGCTTCCCCTATATCATACATCGTCGCTTGGTTTCGTTTGTTGAAAGGCACATCAGATCAAACAATCGAACCCACATAGGCGATTTGTCAAAAAACTACCTCAGACGGCTGCTCTTCTCCCTGCACCGCCTTCAGCACCAATAATTTCCCATCGAAAAACCATGGGCTACCCTCCATAATTCGATCTTTATCAGCTTCTTTAAAGAATTGAAAGACAAAAATGTTTGTCTCAACCATTTGTATAGCAATGTTGTCATTCAAACGCCAAACATTCGTCAAGGTCCGTTTCATAGCTTTGACATTAAAGGTCCTAATAGTCCAAAGTTTACCAACCAAAGCCAACCTGAGTTGATCTCTCGAAGAGTTTTCATCTTCGATCTCACCATTACCACCAATTACTGCATTTTCTTCATTCGTCAATTTGAATTTCTCCAAGTCTTTGAATAAATCTGCTTCCATAGTGTCTATTAGATGAAAATTGGTAATTAGAGGATTCAAATCAATGATTATCCCACAAACAAAGCAAAAACAATAATAAACCCTAAGCAAAGGACTACCAAACCCTATACGAGGGACAACCTTTCCATTCTTAATCAAACCAGTTTCTATTTATTTCGCAAAAAAACTTTTTGATTTGCTTAAATTTCTCATAATTATCTTAATTAAAATTATTTTATTTCAACAAATTCCTCAATATGTGTGAAATGTTCGATCTGATCCATTGTTGTATTTTTTAAATTTATTTTTTCCATTTTAAAAATCTATTCATTTTGGAATAAAAGTAACTACTTCCTCCGTATTTTTTTAAGTGAAACGTTAATCTAATGCACGCATACCGATGTAATTCCTTAACCAATAAAATATTTAATTACTAATAAGTAAGAATTATAACAATTGAGTATTGATACTCTAATAATTTGGACAATTCCAACAAGAACCTATTATATTTTTTTTGGACTCTGAAGAATAATGTGCGAACATATATTCCCCTAAAAATATTTTTTTACATATTATCCAAATAAATTTTTTAGGGGTATAAATGTTCGCACTATTTTTAAAAGTTTAACAAAAGAGAAAATTAATATTAACGAAGGCAAATGAGTAAATAAACATTTTAGAGGGTGTAATCATCCAAACAATATTCATAAGAGTTATCTCAAACTTTTTTAAAGGTAAAGGAAATTTAGCATAGCATTAGTGCTTAAATGCTCCACATGGGCCCCCCTAGTAGAAAAAAAACCTTAGTTATACGTACTCTCTCTGTCCCAAAATAACTGAAATAGTCAACCTTTGCACACATGCATGCCGATGCACTAGTTTGACCTTATTTTTATATAATTAAATATTAATGAAAATTATAATAAAAGTTATTGTATATTATAAAACTTTATATTGTTATTAATACCTATCTAACAACATATTTTATGAAATATGTTTTTATCATATTAGTAAAAAACTATAAATAAAGTTAATATATGAATAGTGAAAAAAAAGTCTAACGTCTTAGTAATCTTGGATTGAGGGAGTAATAGTTAGTGAGGTTTTTCTCCTTTTTTTTATAGGCTAGAGATGAGATTGCGCGGAGTTTTAGAAGATTTAATAAAATAAGATATTAGTGGGGTAAATAAGTTATTATTTTATTGAAAATCAAAGTGGTGTGAGAGGGAGTGAGGACCATTGGAGGAGTGAGAAATGATAAAGTAAGAAAGAGTGGGGACATTAGTGGATAAAGATATATTATTAAATTGTAAGAGATTTCCAAAAATGGAACTCTTGCTTATAAAAAAAACGGACGAAAATAGTGACTCTAGCTATAAAAACGGAGGAAGTAGTACGTTAAACCAAGACATTGAAGCTCGCAAAGAAATATAGCTCTGAGAAGGTGGTGCTAGAATCAAATTGTGAAGTCCTACTAGTCGGCCTTTTTGGTATTTAAAGAGCCACAAGGGCGGGGGTGAGAATCGATCTCAAGATTTCCTGAAATGGGGAGATAGTTCTTTTATTTCTTTAACTTAGATGGTGTAATTCAAGATATATTGTCTTTGAGATGTAATTTTAATTCCTTGTCATTTGATTATTGCTCTTTATGTACTCTTAGACACGTCGTCCCTAGATTAATATATTTTGCTTGATGCATTTTTCTAAAAAAAAAAAAAAAAGCCAAGTAAAGCTGGAAAGAAATAAAATAAAGC